CTTCTAATCGTAACACCCCCTTACCATCCACGGTCGTTCGCACGCCTGTTCTTACGGTAGCGTTGAATATTTACGGCCTCAACTATGACGTCACTCCCCACTAACCCCCTGTGGTGATTGTGCATCTCCTGTACGTAGCGCGCTTACTCTAAAATCTTTTTTCCCCAACTTTAGCAAGTATCCTATCTGCACACCTCCCTTCTTTACCAAAAGTATGTATTTTTCGCCCTCGGTATCGTATACCTATCATCGACGATGACGTCACTGGTAAGACGATACCTGGGTAAACATTGGCAGCATTTAAACTTCTTCTAACCGACGCTCCACAGTGTACCCGAGGAAGGCCTATTAAGAAGGCCGAAAACGTTTGTACTCTTGTTAATAAGGCTAGAAATTAGTGAGAAAGGTTTGGTGCTGTTAATCTTAGAAATAGTTCTAGCTACATATGCATAGTAGTGTATACTAAAATTAAAAATAACTATTGTTTTTCAAAAACTGACCTTCGTTTCATGGATAAGTTGATCAACAGTCTTTTCCATTTCATGGGTTTTAGAAATTAATTGCTGAGAAAAATCTTGAAGATAGCAGAGAAGCTGAATATCAGAAATCATTGCTTAATTAAAGGATTTACATTTAAACATTAATTTTTTTAATAGGTATAAAACAGCATATCTTTATATAAAATTTATTCATTCAATCCCCTAATATTAGGCTATTTGTTTCCTAACTAATTATTAAAAAAAATTTTTTTTNTCTTCTAACCGACGCTCCACAGTGTACCCGAGGAAGGCCTATTAAGAAGGCCGAAAACGTTTGTACTCTTGTTAATAAGGCTAGAAATTAGTGAGAAAGGTTTGGTGCTGTTAATCTTAGAAATAGTTCTAGCTACATATGCATAGTAGTGTATACTAAAATTAAAAATAACTATTGTTTTTCAAAAACTGACCTTCGTTTCATGGATAAGTTGATCAACAGTCTTTTCCATTTCATGGGTTTTAGAAATTAATTGCTGAGAAAAATCTTGAAGATAGCAGAGAAGCTGAATATCAGAAATCATTGCTTAATTAAAGGATTTACATTTAAACATTAATTTTTTTAATAGCTATAAAACAGCATATCTTTATATAAAATTTATTCATTCAATCCCCTAATATTAGGCTATTTGTTTCCTAACTAATTATTAAAAAAAATTTTTTTTTAATATTTAATTTTGAAAGCTTGGCACTCAAATCATCAAATCCATTTTCAAATCTATTTCAAAAAATTTTTTCTATACACTAAAATTCAAAAATTTTGTTTAGAGTAAAAACATGAAAATATGCTTTAATTAATCAGTTTAAATTTCAATTAGAACCAAATGCACTCATTATTTCATCTTTAAGTAGATCTTCATTTGTTATCTGATACTTTGCATCTGCATTTCATTATATTAAAGAATGTAAAGTCTTAGCTAATCTCTGATGAAAATCTGAAATAATTTTAACATTGAAAACAATTATAAAGTCGTAAAAATAATTTAAATAAACAACAAATGTATAATTGTTATAGCTTTTTTCTCAATAAACACAAGGCAGATAAACTGCCATTGTAATTTTACACTAATTATAGTAGTAGTCCTGAAACAGGAAAAATCTAGTCCACTTATATGGATAAACAGGATGTCCATTAGGGTTTCTCATTTCCCAGTGTTTTGCTTGTCCCAGGATTCTGGGATAAAAGTGAACTGTTTCCCAGGATCCCAGGAAATCCCAGAACAGAATTAATTATTTTTAAGATATACAAAATATTTTGAAATCAAATGATATAATTATTTTTCATTTTTTTAAAGGAATTTAATATGTTCTGCAACCTTCAAAATCATATTAATAACGATGTGTAAGATATATATTAAAAATTACCTTTGAATTATGTAGAAATTTTCACAAGTAGAAAAAATTTATTAAAGTCTGTTGAAAACTGCATACAACAACAACAACAACAACAACAACAACAACAAAATGCTTCGAATTGAGTTAAAAATTTAATAAAGAATGAACTTAGATCAAACTTCTAACTTANAGATCAATTATTAAAAAACTGATTTACGTTTACATAAAAATTACTTTCAATTTGTCATTTCTATCAGAAAGAAAACCCTTACAAAATAGAAACTGTATATTAATTTATGACTTATTTTTCTTTTTCTGAAACAGAAAAAAATCTGCATTAATATATAATTAATTTGTTTTAAATTAAAAATTTCGACTAATTTTTCGGGTTTTGAACGTCATAAAATGCGTTTTATTCTATAAAATTTAGTTTTCTTCTTCGGCTAAGGACTTGATCTCTGAGCTGTCATTCGTCTGAGAGAAGCAACGATGGATGGAAGGGATTGAGTTTCTAAGGATTGACTTCCCTTCGACTGTAAGCATAACCTAGAGTCTGTATCCTTCACTTGGAGAGTTTTAAACGAAGGGCTTGAATATATCGAATGGTCTTTTAAGTAAATGGCAACTGAAGGCATAAACAGGACTCGAGTTTCTTACCCCTCTTCAATGGAAAGGATAAATAAGAGGCTCCATCTCTACTGAACCGATGCGCTTCGATTAGGAACTTCTATAAAGGATTTATTATATCAGAATATATTAAAGGATTAAGAAACTTATAAGATTAACGATAAATGATTTAGAAAATGTAGATTGAATTTCTACAGGAACATTTTCTGTCGTGTGAAAGCATTATTGTGAAGGTGGGGGTCGAGCATCTCTAACGAGTCGTCGTTTAATTAGAAATCTATAAATAAAGGATGTAAAAAAAAAACAGGAATTTTTGGCGGCGGAGATATTATTCTATGTGGAAAAATCGAAATGTGACAGAGTTATCTAAAATCGAGCCCCTAAATCATAAAAAATCGATACGTAACAATAGAAAAATAACAATACGTACTGCATCAAACAGCAGCCATTGTAAGTTACTTGTATATTTAAATCACATGTATTACTCTACGATTATCAGCAATCGATTTCCTGTAATTAAAGTGGGGAAAAAATATATGTAAAATTCGAAAAAATATATTTTTTTTTTCTAGTATTAACATGAAAAAAACTTGTTTTTCTTATTCAAAACTCGGAAATTTTATTGTTTCGCCTCTTCAAATTACTAGAAACCGGTCGATATTTATAAAATAATTCGAAATTTATTATTATTATTATTAAACTCTGCATTTTGATTGTACCGTTTTCAAAATATCGATTTTTTTTAAATTAATTAAAATATAAAATAAACAATCCGTTTTCGTTCATAATTATATTAAAACTTAATTATCGAAACTTAAAAATAGTAAAAGTCAATCAGACATTTCCTCGTTCGGTAACTAAAAATCGACCAATAATAGTTAAAAAATTAAAATTTATTATTATTGTAAACTTTCATGATAAGAAATTTGATTTATAAAAACTAATGAAGTTTAATAAGTGATACCAAAATTGACATGCACAAAAATTACTTTCCTCACTTAAGCCAGCATCATTTATTCTAACTTACAGATGTTTTTGGCCACATTTAGAAACCTTCCTTAAGTAAATTTTGAATAAATGATGCAGGAGTAAACAAGGAAGGTATTTCTTGTGCATGTCAGTGTCAGTTGTGAACAGTTCCAGTATACTAATTACTTAGATACCAAAATTAAAAATATACAAAAATCAATACCTAGAACATAATAATAAAATAAAAATAATAATAAAATGACAGAATTGAAATAATTTAGATAATACTTGATATGTATATATATCCAACAGAAGAAATATATCTATTATTTGATTCATAAATAAGTTTACTCTAACAGGAAAGAATGATTGTAAACACTACTATTTATAAAACCTCTGTTTAAAAATATATATACACATTTAAATTAATATTGATAAGTTTATGATATTTTGGAATTTCTTCAATTATGAAATATAATAATATTTTTAATGATTTTTAAATTATCTTATGAAAAGTTAAACTGAAAAAATGTTCAATACAACTAAAAATCATTATACAGTAAGACCCCGCTTGACGTGAGGGATGCCTTCCTAGACGACAAAGCACTAAATCAGTATTTCTCAAGGAGGGCGATATCGCCCCCATGTGGGTGTTTTTCCATGTTGAGGGGGCGATTAATAACAATTTATATTTTTTTGGGGGGCGAAAAACAATTTTCTGGGCGATATAGTANTTTGCTTGTCCCTGGATTCTGGGATAAAAGTGAACTGTTTCCCAGGATGTCATAAAATGTATAACTTTTTTTGGATCAAATTATTTGGAATAAAAAACAGAAGATAGATTTTACTAATCACCAGTGGCATAGCTACAAATTTTGCCACCTGCAAGGTGAGTGCCTTGCAGGTGGCAAAACCCCATGTGTTTGTGCCTGAAGCAGCCACTCATTCTCCCCTAGTTATATCATTGCTATAACAAGAAAATCTTGCCAGTCCCCTAATGCTCATTATAACTGAGTTTGACTGTATATAGAAATAATGCAGTAAAATCTTAAATTTTATGAATGTTTTTGTTCTTTTTGAAAAGTTAGAAATTTATTAAATATCTGGTCAAATATAAATAGATTAGTAAAAATTGTATTGATATATTTACAAATAACTAATATTTTCCATGTATTTAGTTCATTATTGTATAATATAAATCTGCATTAACTAACCTGTTCTTCTTGTTTCTGTTGAGTCTCTGGTTCAGGCTGTATTTCATCATCATATACTCTCTAAAAATATTTTAAAATTAATTTTTATACAAGATTTAAATTTTACACATGTGTAACATTTAAATATACAAAACTAAAAAAACTAAATAAATTTAAATACATTTAATTTTTACTTACATTTTCAATAAACTGGGTATTTGATAACATATGAAAATTGCTCTACAGCAAGAATAGAGACTGATGTTTCTGTTAATATTTCTAGATATAAAAGGCACATTTAACAATGTGTGGCGGCCCTCAGTTTTAAAACTTATCAGAAATACTACAGTATCTCAAATTATTTTCTATTTGCTCAAGGATTTCTTAAAAGACAGAACAGCTGAGCTTAAATTGGGCTTTGCTAAAAAACCTGCTCCTTAAATAAAGGCTGTCCTCAAGACTCAATATTTGGACCCCTACTCTGGAATATTATAAATAATATTCCAGAGTAGGGGTCCAAATATTGAGTCTTGATTTGATAATTAAATTATCAGAAAGTTTGTGTTGATTATAAAATCAGCTAGATCATTAAAAAATAATTAATTCATGTTTCCCAAATTTTCTTAAAACCAAGATATTATTTGTCTTCACCTGGATACACAAAGCAAAAACTATACAGACGACGACATTTGAAATAGATGAAGTTTTGTATTAGTGGGAATAGCTAAGTTCGATCATGGTAGGAGTAGAAATATATGATGGGTATATCTGTGGTTTGTTTTATCATGAAATGGACATAATCTGAAATATGCCTGTAATAGGATCCACTCCTCAAGCATTTCTGAAAAACGAGCCTCTTAAAATTGAGTGTTTAGCTTACAAGTCTGTCAGTTTCACATTTCCTTGGAATGGCAATAGCAGAGTGGATAGGATGCCAGGCACTGAAACTATACAATATAGGTTTAAATTTTCAAAATTTTAGTTTTTTTAACATATAACATAATTATTGTATTATTTTACCATATCATTATTATTATTCCTCATGTGTAAAGCTTATAAAGCAAGAGATTAAAAAATTGTAACATCTGTTTAGCAAAAAAGTCTCCCTAGATTACACTCTTTTATGTCATTAAATAAAATTTTTGCTTGTTCAGATTTATTTTAGATGAAAATGTGTGAAAGTATTGTTCATGGTTACATACTATGTCACCACAAGTGACTAAGCCTCAGATGTTACTGCAAAAGGATGAAAAAGGCAAGTCTGATATGAAAATAGACTAGCATAGTCGCAGTGGTTTTTTTTAATTGTTAATGTTAGACAATTTCCTCACATGCTCATGTTTGTTACACTTCAAATATAACAATACTGCCATATCTGAAAA